TAACCCTAACCCTAACCCTAACCCTAACCCTAACCCTAACCCTAACCCTAACCCTAACCCTAACCCTAACCCTAACCCTAACCCTAACCCTAACCTTAACCTTAACCTTAACCTTAACCTTAACCTTAACCTTAACCTTAACCTTAACCTTAACCTTAACCTTAACCTTAACCTTAACCCTGACCCTGACCCTGACCCTGACCCTGACCCTGACCCTGACCCTGACCCTGACCCTGACCCTGACCCTGACTCTGACCCTGACCTTGACCTTGACCCTGACTCTGACCCTGATCCTGACCCTGACCCTGACCCTGACCCTGACCTTAAGCTAGCCTTCAAGAATTCTGAAGATAATCTCTGGTACTCGAGAACCTTGGCTTCGCAATTTCCCTTCTCAAGCTTCATGGCCTGGAAGAGTTCCTGGGCGGTTTGCTGTTCGGCGGCTAGGGCTTCCTTTTCCGACTCCAGCAATTGCTGCCCTGTGTCCAAGACTTCCTTTCCCGACTCTAGATGTCGCCGCTCTGTAGCTAAAGCCTCTTTCTCGGACCAAAGAGTTTGCTGTTCTGCGGCTATAGATCGCATCTGTTCAGTTAGGGCCACGTTCTCCAAGCCCAGAGCCTTGGTCACCGATGCCACATCCTTCTTCTCTTCGGCGAGAGCCCGCTTCTCTTCGGCAAAGGATTGTTTTTTGGCTTCCAAAGAGTCCTTCTCCGCTGAGAGTGTCTGCTTCTCTTGGTTGGAGGTCTCCTTCTCCGTTGCAAGAGTGTGCTTCTCTATTTCTAGTTCTTGCTTCTCCGAGATTAATCTACGAGCGACCTCGTCTTCAAAATTCTTGTTCCGAAGCTCTGTAGACTCGGCCAGTAGTGACTCCATTTCTTTCACAATTTGGTCGAAGTATGACAATGCATTTTTGGCTCGGCTGATTCTCATCTCTTGGTTCGCTTCGGCCTCCACCAATCTAATTGCCCCCTCCATGGCGGCGACCAATGGGGCAACTTTACCTTGCAAGGGCGAGAATGGGTTCTCCATGATGTAAATTAATATCAATATCGCAGCGTCGTTCCTGATATAAGTTGACAAGTTGAGAAGTTTCGATTTCGCGAGATTCAAATTAATATCGATATCGCAATTTCATGCCTTGTTGGTGTACCTAGTATGGATGTTGAAAGATGAAATTTGATGGGACTCTCTTAGGGGATTGAAAACGAAGAGAATTAAAAATTTGCTCAATCCCCGCCGCCTCTTTCCTCAGTTACGACCCCTGAACTAATTGAAATTTTATAGTTTACAAAGTTTAATAATGGATACATCGGTATGTATACAAACGTCTATAACATTCTCGGGTACCAACTACCTAGGTAACATACCTTCACCTTTGAAAAGCTCTTGAACCTTCTTACCTAGTATACGCGGAAACTGCTCAACTTATAGGTGGTGGCAAGCGCGTATGCGAAAGGCATACCGACACCACCAAACCAGAAAATCTCACGATTATTCCTCGAGCCATACGAAGTGCGAATATCAGTCAACAAGTCAATGCAGTCGAATTGCATACCTACCTAGTCTGCATGGTCTATACGCACGGTGTATGCATCCTGAAGAGATACCTTCTGAATTCAGAAACCGGCTTCTCAATCATTGGTTGATCGTTCAACGCTACTCCCGGTAGATTTGGACGGCGTGTCTTGGCGGGTGCGCGTTATGCCAACTAGACAAACCGACTGAGTACCTAATATAAGAATTTACCCCCCTCCCTTGGGCCGGTTATCGGGTGATGGCCATTTCTCATCATGACCAGTCGCCCATCTTCACTTAGACACCTGTAAGTGCGCCTTTACCCACGCAGGTACTTAACTACCTAATATGTACCTAGTACGTGTATACCTAGGTAGTCGCCGCTCATTCAAACGGGTCATGTAATACGTCTGGTCTTCGGGTCAATAGCTATAGGTCTATGGTATGGCATCGGGACTCGGCCTGCGGACTCTCTGTTTGGTCTGTGAGGGTCCTTTTGGCCGTTAGACTTGGGAGCTGAACGGACAAAGGGCTTCATTCGTATGTATAGTTCGTAGCGAAAGTACCTACTAGGTAGTTAGGAGCTCCTCGCGCGACAACATCGTTGTTTCCTAGCCATTCGGTTCCGCCTCGTGACAGGTACTTCCGAACCTTGGTATCTACAGATTCCACACTACCATCGCGGAGGTATACCTACATATGTAGTAAGTCCCACGTCCAAATTAAATGGACTTACATGTATCTATCTATGGCTGTGGTATTTACCTAGCCTTCGATCTGGTTGCTAGAGTAACCTACTGTATTAACCTCAACCTTCATAGAGCACCTTCCAGGTTTATATACGCAGGAGCGATGAAAACCCCCAGAAAGTTGATCAAAAACCTACCCATCCTGTATTATGCTCATCCTCTATTCCAAGGTGCGTACCTAGGAAAACTTCCCTTCTTCGACTTTCTTCTTTCTATTTATCTTTATATTTGTATTTCAATTTTCTCAATAACTCAGCCTTTTTATTCTCTTTATATATACTACGCTTAACTGCCTATCTAGTAGGCACCTATCGCATTATGGATCGGGAACCTGTCATGAATTCCTCCAGGCTGCCTCCTCAGTGTAGCGCTGAGCTCCCTACTCTAGGTAGGAACGCCAGGCGCCTTGTCGAAGGCCTAGACAAGCATAAATCCCTAGATGAATTATTTCCCATAGTCGTGGATATGGCCGAGGAGCTTGATAAGCAGGCAATCCCCTGCGCGAGCACGGTCAAGATGTTCACAGAAAAGGACTCGGAGCAGTATAAACAGCTACACATCTTATTCCATACTTTAAATCGGGATATACTGCGGTCCCTCGTGCTAGGCACGCTATCGTATGACCTGTGGGATAAAGATTCCAACAGCTGGCAGAACACATACTCCACCCATTCGTTCGATGCCGCCGGGTCGTACGTCATGACACTTTCGATCGAAGGTCGGCGAGGAAAGTTCTTGAACGGCAAAGAGATCGGGCAGGTGAGGGAACTCCTCGACACTTACGAACGCTGCTGCCAAGCCTGGATAAGCCACATGGAGGAGGATGCATACAGCTTCAACGAGCTGAGCGACCAGCAGAAAAGAGACCTTCGAGAGGCCCTCCTGATCGACAACGAGATGCTGAGCGATAAGGACAAGTGGGACGAGGAAGACGACTATCAGCAGCCAGCTTTGCTGCGCAAGACCGGCGACGGTTCAATTAAGGCGAGGGAAACGATCGGCATGCTCCGAGACCAGCTCTGGGCGCGCATGAATCCCCACGACGATGCCACGTACCAGTGCTCCAGCCCCTCGTACGTCGGCTGCTCGCAGAAGATGGGTAGCCGGATGCCGAGTCACAACCCTGACGGCAGGACGTTGGCATCCCCCTCAGCGCTTCACAGGATCTTGACCTCCTGTATCCGCCATATCGGGCTAGAGGTTTCTGTCAAGATCATACCGATACTACCGGTTTGGGAACCCGGCCAAATTCAGCTATCGGAGGTGTTGTTGACTGTACTTGCGCAGTCCATGGTCACAGTACATGGGCTCAACGCCATACAGCCCGGGACGAGCTCGCGCGCGACAATTGCAAACGTAGCTACGTACAACGAAACGAAAGAGCTCGTTTGGGTCAAGAGGACGTGGCTGGCTGAGAATATAAGAAAGTCTCTCAACGAGCTATTAGCAAGGGACATCTACGAGCGGGTCTTCGAACCGATGGTAAGCGAAGACGAGGTCAAAGAAAAGATGGAGAAGGTCTCCGAAAATGTCCCCAATCTCCGCGCATTAGTCCGAGAACTAGAAGAACTTATGAATGAGCAGGCATATGGTGCGAAGGAGCTCAAGGAGAGGGCCTTGGAGGCGGAGAAGTTCTATCATCGATCAAGGGGAATGTTCCCCAATCTCCCACCACCTTCGTCCGCAAGAAACGATGAGCATTTTACTGATTTCAGACAAAGCTCAATCTAACTATACATAATCTAGGTAACTCGTCATCTACCTAAGTACCTACTAAGTACACACTTGAAGTACAACTCACTTTTAAGAATTCTGGCATCGAAGCCCTTCACCATCGCCAATCTTACTATCACCTTTTCGATATTTTTCTCGAACGTTAAAATGGGGTCGCTAACGAGGTATTTAAGGGGCGCCGCGGAGCTACCAAGCGCAGTATCGGATATAACTACTTAGGTACTAGGTATTTTAATAATTCTTAATAGAAGTAATCGAACTGTTGGATGACCATATGTCTTATTAGAAAATACTAGGTAACTACCCACGTGATTAGTGCTGAAAGATATGGTATATGAGACTTGAATGGCTTGTGTTAAATCTAGCGACAAAGCACCCTGGGAGGGACGTGAAAGCCTTACCTAGGTACCTAGCTACCTAGAAGTCCATTAAGTACACCAGGAATTCAAGAGGTATGTACTTGTTGAATTGCAGGGCTTAATCTTTGTATTCAGTACACTATTACTAGGTACTTTACTGTCTGGAAACGGGTTACTAGCTGTTTTCAGTACCTATTGCTAAAAGTAAGGTCCACGGGTACCACTGACAGCAATCAGCTACAGAAATAAATGGCTGATAAGTCCCCTATTAGATTAGTTGATTAAGGATTAAGAAATATAATATACACTCTTTTGACCCCTAGAATACGCTATAATAAAGTGACCTTTATTTATCTTAGGTACTGTTACAGGGACCCTTAGCACTCAGCTTCCTTATATTGCAGCTTCTCATAGCTCTGTAGCCAGCGTATATGATATTTAGGTAGTTACAGTGGTTACCTTCAATAAGACCTACATAGTAGGTACCTAAGGTAGGTAGGTAGGTAGTAGCCTGATTAACCGATAGGAAACCTACTAGGTACTTATAACGTACGTCTATCTTGATATTGACATCTCATATCCGATTGCCGTATCCCTACTACGTACTCCAGTTAATCGCTATATGAAAGTCCATCCAGTGCCCCTGTTGCCTATATCCTAGCCCAATAACTAAACCTACGTCTATCTGAACCCGTACTGTGTTTCAACCACATATGGAGATCTACGGAGGATACCTACTACGAGTTATCGACAGCGCTGTTCATAGACAGAGGATGTAGATTAGATGGAAAGAAGTCTTTTAGCTCGCTAGTATACGACATCGGTGACATGTAGGGTTATAAATAACTACGCGGTGGCGTAGAAGTGACCGTGAATGGAAATTCCTTCGAAGGAGATGCCTTCTATTGACTTTGATATGGTGATATTTGTATAGGGGCTTGTTGCCGAGAGACGGCTAGAGAGTCCTTTTATCGGCGAGTTAGAAAAATGTAGCGGAGAGGTTGGGCTATCTAATCCCTACCTAGTAGTAGAGATACATGCGACTGAGGATTCATGTTTCTAGGAGACGATTGTTGAGGATCTTACGGGAGATAGTGGCAAGAGCAGGAGGCTGGGGATACCCAAGGAAGCCACTCGCGAAGATACATCTTGTAATCGGCGGTTGATATCGAGAGACCACCATCAAGAGGTGATGTGATGGAAAGCGTTGGATAATGATACTGGATTTCTTATTGCGATTCAAGGAGTTGGAAATACCATCTTCGCGTGGGCATTGAAAAAGCTAATATGAAGAAGTAAACCTGACGAGCTCCTAGAGTGCCTACTCGGTAATTGACTCAGATTTAGCAGTGAGAGCTGTAGGCCAAGATAATGGCTGGGATTTTAACGTGAAGTAGTGGGCATCCTTCTCTTAACGGAATACCTACTATCTAGTAGGAAGTAAAGGAGGAATCTCAGGACTCGTAGCCGGAGGTCTAGTAGGATTGGGCTTCGCTCGTCGAGGTCCGTAACAGCGCATGAAGTGTTCTGGGTAGGCGTGTTAGCCGTTAGCCCTTGAGACGGAGTAGATGAAGGGTTTCATTTGATATACATGCCTCGCTCCCTTAAATAGCCATCCATAGAATTAGGTTCCGCCTCGCGACAGATAATGCATCGGGTGTTGATAATAGCATCACGTTGCTCGCCATTTCTAGGGGACAAATGGCCGCCTACACTATTTGGTATGTGCTAAAGCATCATTAGGTGTAAACATGTAAAATACGTACACAGGTTTCTTCAATCTAGTAACAAACATGGGATGATAATCATGGATGCATACCTAGTATTGAGGTAATTGATAATTGGTCCAAAACTAGGTAGGTAGGTAGGTACCTACATAATGAATGCAGTCCTGTAGGGCGTGGATTGGTGCCTACGTAATGAATACAGCGCATGGGTAGGTACCAGGTAGGCGACGAGCTACCTAATAGTGATTCCAACAGAACAACTCACAGCCCTGGAGCCCTAAGGAGATCCCTAAAACAATAGTTGTTGGTACCCTTCGAATATCGCCTTTTCACCAAATAGCCATTTTCTACCAATACAACCAATACACCTTTCTGCAATCACCAACCGGCCATATTGATCTCGCATTTCTTTCTTTTATTTCCATTCTTTTCATTCTTTTAACACCCCCATCGCAGATCAAGTACTAGGTATTACACAAAATGGCGCATCAGGTCCATCCTACCGACTCGGCTTGGTTAGCCAAGAAGGCGGAGATAGACGAATGGTTTAAAGACTGTAGCACAGCCCCCAGGACGCGTGTGGCCTATCTACAGTCTGCCCATGCTTCCGGGAAAAGTACGACGTTCCTGAAGTACTTGATCGAGAATTCGTACGCAGCGGAACCTTGCTACTTTATCTACGTCGCGGCTCGTGTCGATGAGTTGAATTCGGCGAGGAATTATCTAGTCCGCAACCTCCCTCGGCGAATTCTCTCAGACATCTCCTGGGACTTTGAGGACGAGGAGCGGCCCTGGCAACTCACTACGTACGATCACTACGTGAGCTGGAACGACATGTTGGGCGAGGAACTTTATCCCGATCGCGTAAATATGATCGTCGACGTGGAGTTGCTAGCGTCGGTGGCGAGCGAGTTATTCTTCGCGAAGCTGCTAGACCGCGCGCGTTGGACGCGCGAGGAGCCCCCGGTCGTCGCCAACATCTTCCTGATGTCGCCGCATCGATCGGAGAGGACGATCTCGGCCTTCCGCCGGCACGTGGGTGATGTCGCGGAGATCAATGTCCCGGATATCAATCCGCAACTGACGCTCGAGGTGGTGAAGAGTCACGAGTTCCCTGGCGTGGTCTTGGCGGCCGCCGCCGATTGTTTGGAGCAGGACGAGGAGTCCAGGGTCGTCGTCATCGCGCACGACACTCAATTCTTCGACGACGCCGTCGGCATTCGCCAGATCAAGCGCTGGAAGCACCCCGGGTTGGATGAATCTCTCTGCGCCAGACAGATTTCGGTGGATTCCGAGGCCGGCTTATCGGCGCAAGTATCGAAACTACGTGTCCTAGCATTCGATTATATGTCGGAGTCGACGGTGCTCGATACCGCGTCTGGCCACACGGTAAAGGCGGAAAGGTATTTGGACCGCGACGAGGTCGAGCGCGCTCTGTCCTGGGCCCTGAAGACCGAGGAACCGCACGAGGTCCGTATCATCACAAACCTGAGTCCGGCGATCCGCGACCAGATGCCCCGATCCGACGAGCGTCATGACCCGGCTTGGAACGAGGACCTACCGTTTCTTATCCTGACCTTGCTTGAGACCTTCCGAGATCGACCTCTGAAGGATCTGCTGATGCGCCGCGCCCCCGACGATTTCGCATTCACAGAAATGCTCCTCAGGTTAGAGATGAGCCAGTTGGTGATCCAGAAGAATGATTTGGGGATCTGGGCGTTGACCAAGGTTGGGATGGAGGCCTATCTCCTGATGGTCCACTCGCTGATCGAACCCGCGTTCGAGGCTCCCGTCGACATTTACGTCGCCAACCTCCTAGCGAGGGTTACCTTCGAGGAAGATGTGAAGGTCAAGCGCGTCCTCATCCGCATGGCGGCTATCGCGCTCGTAGAAATCCCCAGCCTATGCAACCCCTCACGTCCGCGCAGCTCCGTATCGCTGCATGATCTACGCCAACAGTGCGCCGGAATCGGCCACGAACAGTGCTGGAAGGGCGGCCTCTGGGCAGCTCTAGGCGTATACCTGGCCTCGTCGGAGCGCAACATATTTGGTCCCGGCCGCGGCGAAGAGATAAGCGGGCCCTTGCGCGTTAACTGTGGCGTCGGTTGGAAAGTTGCCGAGTTGGTGGCTTTCCTAGACGACCGTCTCAAGGTGCGCCCGGCTGCGAACCAAATCATGTCAACGTGGCTCGACGACGAACAGGTAGCCGTGGTCGAAACCCATCTGGCAAGATCATGGTTCTACAGAGCCGTCGCGGCGCCCTGTGGCAGGGATCGAGCGATATACGATGTAGCATCCAGCCTCCAGGTCAACGTAGACCAGAACTCCGAGCTTCTCTACCTGGAAGGCGTGAGGCGAGATGATCGGGAAGCCGGTCATATCTTCGCCATCTACGGATCGCTCAGAGGTCGCGGCCCGGAGGATTTGGAGGTTTCTAGCCTAACCTATATTCCTCGTCACATCCTGAAGGCACTGGACAGCGAGGCACGTCCCGGCTGGGCAGATGCGATCGCGACCACTTACCCCATGCACTAAGGGGGGAAGGGGGGGAAGGGGGGCTGATGATGTAGGTAGAGAACGGATCAATAGAGAATTGCTATTACGATCAACTTCTAAGTGATACTATGTACCGTACCGGGAAAGGGGGGGTAGCTACAACGCGTTAAAATAAGGATTTATCATTATTAAATTAAAAATAATTTAAGCTGTAGTAACAGTTGCAGCGCTTAAAAATACCTTCTTATATAAAATAAGTGGGAAGGTATAAGGTTGTAATAATAACGTTTATAAAGGCTTAAAACTGTTAAAATAATTAAAACTATTCCCATTAAACGTTAAAGTAATAAAAATAATTAAAATTTTATAACCATTATAACTTATTTATTTTTATTAAATAACCCCGTAACCGTTATTATTATTATATAAAAACTTTATAATAATTATAATAATTTTAACGGATTTAAGTTATAACGTTTATAAATAACTTTAACGTAATAAAATAAACTTTAAAATTATTATTATTATAATAATTATAATAATTCGTAATAACCGTATTTATTTAATTACTTAAATATTTACTTATTTATTTACTTATAATAAAACTTAAGTGTTTACTTTTTATTTAATTACTTATTATTTAATAAGTATTTAATAATTTTTTATTTTTTCTTAATTAATAAACCTTCCACATTTAAGTATATAATAATATATATTTAATATATATTAAAATAAGTTTAATTTTATTTAAATGTTTAAAAAATTATCGATTTACTTTTTTAATAATATATTTAATAAATTTTTAAATATTTAAAATTTAATAAAGTTAAGTAAATTTAATTTCCTTATATTAAATTAAGTTAATTAAATTAACAAAATTAACAATAATAATAATAATAATAATAATAACTTAATCGTATTAAATAAGTATCGTTAAATTAACGCGTTAAAATAAAACTAATTAAATTAATTAAATAAATATTAAACACTTATCATTACATTAAATTAAATTAATAATTAATTTCTTTAAAATAAAAAATAATTAACTAACTTTTAAAGTTACTAATAAAAGTTAAAACCTTTAAGTTCGAATTATAAGCTTAATACTTTAAATTTCTTTATAAATAATTAAATAATTCTTAATAATAAACTATAATATAATAATTACAATTATTTCTTAATACGTAAAATATTTTAAAAACTTAAAATTAATTTTACCCTTTCCGTATATATAACTAATATATACTTTTAACCGTTAAATATATAAAAAACGTAAAATTAATTTCAAGCCTTCAAAAAATTTCCAGCATTAAAACAGGTGTATAATCGTTGCATTTACCCCCCTTTTCCCGTTAAGTAAATTGTAAGAAAGTGAAACTAGTGACCTAAGACCTAAGAGTAAAATAGGTGCCTAACATAGGTACCTAGGTAGGTATATGGCATATGGCTCGGTAACCGGTTAGTAACTGGCTTCTCACTTTCATAATAGCCTAGTTTGATATACTAGGTTTCAATGAATAGTTCGGTCCCACACCCGAACGACTTATTCATGGATGCTGCAAGTCACCATAGGCCGATCTATGTTAATAGATAGTTAGTATCGTATCGTACTAGAAGCTTACGTTGTTAGGGGCAGGTGATGGTTTGTAGGTACCTAGGTACTTAGATAAGTACAAAGTAGTACTCAGAACTCGGATATAAGGCGTAGATTCTACGAGTCAAGCATTAGGAACCTTGGAATTCGAGCTAGAGTTGACCAGTGGCGATTAAAGCGTAGATGATGCTTCTAGGTAGGTAATCCTCCGACAGTCTAAAGTTATCTACGTAGGTATGTACCTGCTTACCTAGGCAGTGGTATGTATTGAGATAGATGCAGGTCATGAGTGTTATATTGGTTGATTACCTACCTACCTACCTAGGTAGGTAGTTGATTAAGTTATTATGTCTAGGTAGTGGTTCGTAGATAGTAGGTATGTTGACTTGGAACATATTAGATGATTATAGGCCGTAACATCATAGACTAAAATGTAGCAACTAGTAGGTAGATCTTCATCCCCATTGGCCCATATTTCCTTAGAGTATATCGTCTTTAATCCGGAAGTCTCGAATCCATACCTACGTTATGTCAAAGCTTCTGTAGCCGTATATGTTACTTGTAGCAAGTTCATGGATATGGAGGAGTCGTTTTGTTTACCTACTTATCACGTCTTTACCCATTTTCACTAAATCATACTATTGCTAGATTTATATTCATTAACTAGCCCTATTTCTGTGTGGAGGTTGAGGACTCGATCCGTTAAGGTCCTTGAAGGTGTCCTGAGAAGGCGGTTTGGTTATTACTAGCTCTGGAGCTAGAGTAGATACATTCTCCCTGAAGTTAGAGCTATTCACGTAAAAACGTTGTTGTCTATATGCATTTTGGTTCTGATATCAATCTAGCTTAACTATTAAAGTCTTTATCACTAGCCTTAGCGTTGCTGCCCTTCATTTCAGGTTTCAATCAAGGAAGTGCACCCTCCTAGTACCGTCTCAACCCGACAGGCGGATCCTCATCTGTGCCACCCAAGCATCCAATGATCGGCGGAGCAGCGGATATTGGCCGAGAGTGCGCTCACACACCTCCAGCCTCTTCCCTCGAGAGAGCACGTCGTCCCAGGAACCGGATAGGACGAACCCCGTGACGGTCTCTTCGGCTTCTTCGATGTCGCGGCAGTCGACGGGTAGCAGGCGAACGTGCTCTTCCGCTACACTCACGGCGGCGTCTTCTACCATCTTTGTGAGCTCGCGTGTCGCCAAGCAGCCGAAGCGTGGGTCCGTGACGAAGCTCTTGATGGCGGAGAATTCCGCGTCGATGTTGGCGGCTGCCGCTCTCGCAGCCACGCGTGTGCTCGCGAGCTGCACCCGGAGAAACTTGACGGCGCGTTGGGGGTCTTCGGGCTTCAGCTGTCTTGCTTGCAGTATGCGCGACTCGACCTTCCCGGGGATCTCCATGCGAGCCTTCTCCATCTCAGCCATCAACTTGTTGGGCCTTGGCCTGATCAGGTTCTTGTTGATCTCGTCGAGGGCGGTGACGATGTTGACGGGGCGAAGGCGCAGCCACTGCAGGTTGACGGCGAGCAGGTCGAACCAGGCTGCCTTGAATCTGCGTTTCACGGCCGAGTTCTCCACCTCCGCACCTTCCTCAAGACCCAGGGCAAGAAAGATCTTCCCGTCTGCGTCGGAGATGAACAGGACGACGACTTCCGCGCCGAGCATGAAGGATGCGCGATTGATGGAGTCCGTCACCTCTTCCTCGGTTGTCCCGAAGCAGCTGCCGATATTGACCTCGAGACCCCAGTCGCTCGATGTAATGCGAAGGGCGAAGGGCTCGTCGCATCCGTGCTCGTAGGGGCGGCCAGGAAGCAACTCATCCCACAGCTTCGCCATGAGTTCCGGGCGGCGCTCTGTAGAAGAAGGTAGTCGCAAGGGGGCGGGGGCGGTTCGGTTGGTCTCCAGCTGCCGGATCTCCTCCGCGACCTTGGCCTCCTGCTCCCGACTCTCGAGATACGAGAGGTAAATCTCGGAGTAAGGAGCACCATACATCGTAGGTTCGTTGGAAGAATACGGGTACGGAGGGTCTCCACGCATGTTTCCTCGGGAAACGAAGAAACCCCACCAGTCCTTCTCCACGCGCCAGCCAAAGTAGTCAGCCGACAAGGTTGGCAAGACCTTGTTCTTGGCAAGTCTATCTGCCAGGCGTTGGCCGCCCTTAATCAGCACCTCGTGGATCGTCTCCATGGAGAAAAAGTCATCGGTGAGGTGGTAGACGGTATTCACGAACGCGTCGCGGCGCTCCTGCCCAACGGGAGAGAGCTCAGAACTCATAGACCAGTGTGACGACATTGTGGATACTAGGTAGGTAGGTAGTTTGAGCAGAAAAACGGAAAGACTAAGTGAAAAGATTATGTGAAGTAAAATGCCGTATCTGGAGATGTGAGTTCGCGTTGTTGAAAGTTGAAAGAAAGGTCAAAACGGGGAGGGGAAAGGCAAGGTTAGGGATTACGGGTAACCTACCTAGTACTTAGGTAGATAGAAGGCGGGTTGATCCTAGGTTTTACCTATCGTACCTGCCTCTACCTAATATATCAGGTTAGTAACTACAGGTAGCTACGTTCAATATTCCATGTTGAGAGTTACTAGGTAGGAAGTTGCGCCTCGTACATATCTACGAAGGTACCTAGTACGTACTTATATCTACTGGGTATACATATAAAGTGTAACTATGTGTTAAGTATATATGTATTATATAGGATACTACGAGGTAGGTATATTATAAGTCGGCAGGTAGGTACTAAACACCTACCTATGTATTCTGGTAGATAGAAAGACCGATCAGATATTAGGTTTTCGTATGAACCCTAGTATTTAGTACTCGGTAGGTACTATTGTACTCCCTAGTCGTGCCTACCTGATACTTAGGTATATGTAGACATCTACACATAGATAGGGGTACCAACACGGTTTGTGGTAGTACGTACTAGGTAACTTACTACATAGGGGGGAAGTACCCATGTATTTCTAGTTACAATACCTATACTACCTAGGTATAGAAGACGCGTCTCGTCACCGGCCCGCCTACTGATTACTGATTTGGATCATGATCCACCACTATATATAAAACTTATCCCACCTTGCCAATTTATTTCTTCTTCTCCTCTACACCAATTCCAGATCTCGCCGCCGACCCAAAACTAAAATTTTTTTTTTATTTTAAACTTCTACTTTCATTTTAAACTATTATCGGCGAGATGTCTCAACAACAACGAGACTCTGGAATTGGAAAGGGGAAGGGGAAGGGCAAGGGCAAGGGAAAGGAGAAGGCCCCTATTAATCCTCTCGATCAGGGCCTGGACGAGATCGTGGCTGCCAACAAAGCCAACGCGTCCGCTCCACCCAAGCCTGCCGGGAACCCCCAACCCGCCGTAGCCCCTCTGGCCCGACAACGCGGTCGTATCGCCCTAAGAGATGCAGCCAACCGACCTCCGCTAGAATCCGCTAGCGTTTCGGAGGTCCAGAGGACCTACAAGAACGGCCTGGTTACAGGTGTTTCCCTCCGTGGTGCCCCGGAAGCCACCAACTGGGAAGCCGTGGGTGCGGGAACTACCATAGTCCGCGCCGATAATCCAGAGACCTTGGAGCGAGAGACGCGCAATTACAACGAACGCAACCGCCGCTTCAATCATGGGAATTATAGGGAGACGTACGCCCTCTTTACCATCAACAGACCCAATGTTTTGGGTGACGCTCCCGGCTCTTCTCGCGCGCTGCCTCGTGCTTCCCGCGAGCCGCCTCGAAGACCCACCACCGCGCAGTCTCGCGCGCCACCTTCCGTCCCTTCTCCCGTTCCTGCTCGTCATCACGAGGAAAGAAGGGCTAAGAAACAGCGCAAGAGGAATGATCGACGCCGATATGGTGGTGGAGCCTCAGTCCCCAGCAACCGAGGCGACGACGTCAACGACGTTGACGACGACGAAGGTTACGAGGAGGACGAGGAAGGTGATGATAGGATGGATTACGAGCCCGCTTCTCCCTCCACCCTATCCAGCTACTATTACGGACCGGGCGCCCTCTCATCTGACCAACCTGCCGCCCCATGCCAGCCCCCCGTCCCATACCACCCCGACCCATATTAGCCCAGCCCATACCAAGCTGCCGGCCCATACCAAGCTTTTCCCGTCAATTCCGACCAGCCTGCCGCCGCCTCCCACCGACAACAACCGCCAAAACTATCGCTCCAGGCGCAGAAGGCCAGGTTAGATGCGGAGTCGGACGACTATTGGGCTAAGGGTGATGAGGAAAGGGAAGAGAAAGAGGAGCAAGGAGCATATAATTAGTGGTAGCAACTAGAATGAATATATTGCCTCCTCTAGAGTTTATTCCGGGATTTGGCTATTTAATTATAACTTGCAACGATGCCCCATAATCGTGATATGAGACTCTAATTTAGCGTAGTTACAATACGGACATCTCCTGCATGAGGAAATGTTGTTACTTACTTAGGTACGTAGGTCAAGTAATTACACCTCCCTAAGAACCTAGATGTATACAAGTAAGTACACCCATGCATTGACGTAAAGGAGTGAATATTTACATATAGGTAGGTACTTAACACCATCTTAAAATGTTAAAAACGGTGGGAAAGATTAAGGTACCTATATTAAAGGGGCGCGACAGTTGTAATCAGTCGTCTTGATTTACCTACCTAACTCTACTAGGTACCTAGTTATTATGAAATTTTCTTCTCGGGGGATGTTTCAGCATCCTAACGATCTCGTCTCTGATTATTTCCTTTATTATCTTCATAGTATATAATATTTTACTGTGCTGTACGAGACCGTCGAAGTAGAGATGGACGCATACTAGAGTGGGGCCTGGAGGGGTGGCCGGGTTTATTGCAGGTCTGGTTTGTGGGAGGATTAACGGCTGATGATTCTAGTTTAGTTTGGGTCGTTATGGATTCTCGAGAGCCTAGGAGAGGTCCTGGTACTTGTTTGTTGCTAGCCTTGAAGTAGACAAGAAAACAGTATCTCCTGTATGTATATTGTGTTCCCTTAGCGAGAATAGCCTAGATACCTTTCTCGGGAAATAACGTCGTGTTACGTAGGTAGGTAACCTTTAGTTTTGCGTCCTGACAAGATTAGGGGACATGATACTGCCTCTTGGAGAAGACTCTCCTCGGACTTTATTTCGTATCATAATTATTCTATAGTAATATCAAGTTATATTTGACCTGATACCCATACCGCTGTAGCTGTATGGCCTAACAATGAGGACCGGCGATTTATCGCAATATTGAACAAGGATATTGCCTAGTCATCGCAAAGTTCAATACAATTAACTCAAGCTATACGCACGGTGTATGTACAGTGCTTTATTTACTTTCCCCATTGGGAAATTAGCTTCTTAATCATTGGTCGATCATTTGACGCTACTCCCAGTAAGCTATCGCCAGTGTATCAGGTGTATCACCTACGCTCTCATGCATCTGCATCGTGCGGGTAGATAAGTAGGTTATCTCAACGTCGTGAATGGTTTTGAGGATTTCGGGTATCGTATACATAAGCGTAGATGCCCAACGCAGCGATACGCAATACATCGTAGTTACCCGGGGTTGATTGAAAAGTTCCCAAAAGATATTGAAAGTACTACCTAGTAGGTAACGCTTGCACCTGATTATCGTCTACGCTACATGTCGCAGGACTACCCGTCAACGATTTAAGTAGGTACTTAGGTAGGTAGGTATATATCTTCGCGGGCGTCCGACGAGCGCTAGTCCTAGTACGCTAGACCCCGAAGGAATTCGCTTTACGAAGGTTGGGGTCTAAGATTTTGCACAAATTTCCGGGCGTTGACCCCGCAGCCGGGCTTGCAATGAGAAATATCCCCGCACGATGTGGGGTTTCTCCAGTAGCCAAGGTCTGTAAATTTAGCGGTCACCAACTAAATTTCAACGAATAGGGCTATTAGGTCTACGTTCTAGGTACCAATATTTATAAGTAGAACGTAGGTAACTTTAGACCTAGACCTTCGTAGAGGTCTTGAACATGCCCCCCACGTTACTAGAACGCGTTATATCATATATGACGTCCTAGCATTCTATAAAGGTTGATATGACCGTGTGATCGCATCGGGATTTACTCGAGTGTCATTTAATATACTAATGCTAGCACACGTAGGCACTTGGAGTAATCGCCGACTTCTCCCTAAGGAAAAAATGCTAGAAAGTAACAAGTCTCTAAGTCTAAAATGATCCGCGATCTTACTCAGTGAGTACCCATGTTCTGAGAAGTCATCTTTAGCTTCTACCTAAGAGATGAATGGGAAAGGTAATTAGAATTGTGTTGGTTAGGGTGCGCAAGTAAATCGCAGCGAAAGAACGAATGATAATGATACCCGCTGCAAACAAGGCAGTCATCGGCAACACGAGTGAAAATATATATATATTAAACCTTGCGAGCTACCTATGTCCTTTCCAGGGCCTTTTCTTCAAGGGCCACCACCGTTTCATTGCTCGGGGACGAATTTAAAGTTAATTGTTCGTGAATATACACCTATAACCCTTAAGTCGAACTAAGCATAAGGCGTGCACCTCGTTCCGTGATTCGAAACCAACGACGTAACTATTTCTTGGTATCTAGGTATCTAGGTATCTACCTAAGTACCTATCTACCTACCTAGTACCTAGTAGGTATGTGAATTTTACCATACATTCAATCAGCAGTCATTTCACCGGGAGCTATAAATCTTGAAATGCATCAATATTCACAAGGTGCGCGCGTTAATCCTGGATACGCACTCGGGGAGGTTGTCACCTAGGTAAGCATTTGATGCAATTGGGAATTTTAGGCCTTCGGACACCCCCATCAACGTCCGGGCTATTTAGAGTGGGCAATAAGGTCGCTGTAGTGGAAGAGTGAGGCCTAGGGCGCTCTAACTTAGCGTGTCCTGGTAGGTACCTAGCATGCGCTAGGCATGGAATCATAAGAGTCCTGCTGACAAAGCGTCACAAGATCCTTTGCCTTTGATTTCAAATACCATCAAGTGCCAGGTACAGCTTCAAAGTGCAGATTCAGTGCTCGCCGAACAATTTAAGCCTTTCCGAAAAGCTGACTTGTATTGCATAGTGCCTAGGTAATTAAGGTGGCGATAGTATCGAATCAAACCGACGTTTTCATCGGGTGGAGGTATACGCGTACAACATAAGGCTATCAATTACTAAGTTAAGTACTTCCCGAAAGGTGCGTTCGTTTTCAGCTGAGTAAATAGTTATTTAGGACTGCGTCGTGGAGGGTTACATTCGTAATCTTTCCCCATGATTCGTCGTCGGAGCCTCATTCTTTCGTAAGCGTAAGCTTTAATGATCTGCCTAAATGTCAGCACGTAGGGTTGCATCGATTCCCGATTTAGCATTCCAGCTCCTTAAAATACCCCTTATCATCCATAAATAAATAGAAGGCGAAAGCTCAAACGAATTATGTAGTTTAGTCCTATGGTTGTTTTTGCCTTTTGTTCAGCTCCGCTACCCTCCATATATCGTTGCCAGTTATAACACTGTCAATTATAGCACTGTCAGTAGCACCATCGGTGACACTATCCATAAAATTGTCGATTTGATAGGTAGGTCGTCGTGCTGCCTAGCAGCCTAGGTACTGTGTCGCGCTAGGCATGTAGAGCCTCATACAAGGATTTAAGTATGATGGATCGGCAGAATAAGAATAGGCTCCGATTCCCTGAAGTCGGGTGATGAATTATCGTTGAATCCAATTCTAGATTTCTATTTCATCTGCTAGTTACATATCTACCTATAGGTATCCATATAGCTGGATACCTATTGTGATTGGTGATCCCCTGCTTAGGTAGTTACCTCGTTCGATTACCATGAACCGACCGTCTGAGAAAGGATATTTCCCCTCCGGGGCCTCGTCCTCGAACTCGTCAAAAGACAAGTCCTTCCTATATCACCGACAGTCCGTGAGGCTCTTCCTCAAGTTCCTAGGACGATGGCTCCTCACTGCGGCGATCTGCGCTGCGTTTGTCGTGGTTCTGAAGGAGTACGATCGAAAATTGTGGATGGAGGACGGTTCCGCGCACATCTACAACGCTGTCGTGTCTGGTTTAACGATTTGCTTGTCGCTCAACATCGATGCCAGCTTGAACGCCTTTGCAGCTGCCTCCAAGTGGGTGGTGTTGGCTTCCAAGCGGTTCGAACCCCGCATCTTCGAACTCGTCCTGGCGTTTGACAACTCGAAAGTCAACGCGATCAAGCTCATGTTCTGGCGCGGCGTCGGGGCCTGGTGGCTGCGTCTGGTTTGCCTCGTCTGGCTTTTCGTCGCTCTCGCGGCTCAGGTCGGCACGGCGTTGATCGGGCTCACATATTCGGTTATTCCCCTATCTCCGGATAGGGATGCGTTCCCGACGCCGCTCGGAGATGCGAGGACGTCGATATTTACGCAGATCGGTTACGACGGCGAGCCCGTCTCGGCCGACCGCGAAGTTAACTTGACGATGCAACGTTCCAACGCATTCGAATACGGGGTCGGTGCCGTCAACGTCAATTGGGACGACATCTATTCTCCTAGCCCTTACAGGTTCCACACGGTAACGTATGACAACGACACGAAGAGCTATTGGACCGCTATCTCGAACTATCCTGCTTGGGCCTCGGACAGCCTGACGCAGTGGAATGCCATCGGGCGATACGTTCAAAACCGCGCCCGTTGCGAGGAGGTGCGGATCAGCAGCGTTAGCAGTTCTTCGAATATGACGGACGTCGCGTTCGACGGGCACAATGGGACGCAAGTCTTTACTATCCCGCAAACCCCGCTCGATTATATGACGTATATCTCCGACACGTCTCCTTCCTGCGGTTCGCGATGTACTCAAGTATACGCTATATACTCGACGAATGAGACGACGGAGTTGTTCGCATGCAATAGCACTGTATATAAGATGTACGGCCGAGACAATTCGTTGATCAATCGGACGGATCTATCAATTCCGGATACCCAAGCTAGGATTCTAGCGGGCGCTATCGGCTGGGGAGATATCAAGGTTGATAGTTCTCTCAGAGGGTTATCCATACCAGGTCGATTTCGAGCTTCGAGCTTCTCCAATGGGTCGTATTGGGCCCGGCCCTGGACGCATACTAATGCTTCCGTGGCTATCGATAACGTCGCATACTTTACGGCCTCTGCGATTGTGATCATGAACGAATACGGCATCCAGGAGAATTTCACCGATTTGATTATTCCTGGCATGGCGTCACAGTTGAATGTGACGTGGAAGTATAGCGTTCTGATACTAGCCTTGATACCTGGCATCCAAGCTCTCCTGGCTTTGCTCTGCATCCTAGTTGTGTACTTGTGCAGAGTGCCGATTCAAGACGGCTCCTTGCTAGCAATCACGACTCTTCTCAATCCCGCCTTGTCCCGTATTGCTACAGGCAGTCCTGAAAATGGCGGGAATATCTATCTCCAATACACGCAACAGGGTGGTGAAGGAAGCGCTAAAGGAAGTGGCATGGGTACATGGGTCATTGAAATAACTGAACACAATTGGGGTCGATGAGAATCTGATGTTGGTATTGGTTGTTTATGATAAGATGTTTTAGAAGGATAATATCCATCTGTCTTGAGGCGGGACGCTTTGTTACAAAGCATAAAAGTTTATGACGAGGTTACGATGGAACCCATTCCTTTACATGAAGAGCCTGATTGTCTACCTACCTACCTAGTAGTGGTATCTAGTACCTAGTGTTTATGATTTTATTGTATTTTACCAGATAACGGAGAACTTTTCATACTCCCCTTAGACTACAGGGATAGAGAAGTTGGCCGTACATCACAACCCTTATTAGGAGCTAGATACTATGGTTCGATTGGAAATTGAGAGGTCGCTATCGAACCGAATCAAATATACACGTCCACATTATGACTACCTACTTCTTAACTTCCTGACCTTAATCTCTATTTGAGGTATCGGTATTCGGGGGTAAGTGTGAATATTGATTACCAATTTCCCACTCTACTTATCCAAGTTTCTAGACATCCCCGTTCTATGTCCCCCACCGTGTATATTTTCGATCATAGTCTTTCCAACCTGAACAATCCAGTGTTAGCAATCATAGGTACTCCTTAAGAAATCAACCCTCGATAGATCAGACGTATCGCACCGACCCCGTGTTCACTTACGCAATTGCTCGTTCTTACATGTTATCAATCTCCTAACTAAACTGCTGAAAGGTACGGTATATGAGGCTTGAATGTCTTGTATTACTTGTCACATCAACTGAATGAGTGATGGGGGAAGTCCTATCTATATACAAATTCCTACCAAGGAGCCATGTACTGTACTTAGAAAGGCAGTCTCTTGACCTCCACATTCAACACGCCACACCCTCAGAATTGGGCCCTGAGTGTGATGCTAAGATGAGGTGTTTCGTATCCTAGTTCGTAACGAATGACGCTAGACTCCCGACCACCGAGGTCTTCGGAGATTAGGTACCTCATGTTGGGGTCGGAAAAGTCCTCTACTTAGTATGTACGGATGAGCTGAAACTCCGCCGTATCAGACTCCTATCGTCGCCGTGTGGAATAGTATAGACTTTTTACAAGTAGGTGAGATGTTATATGCTGGAGATTACCGTAACATACCTAGTACGACTACAGAGATCGGGGCTAAACTTTTGTAAATTCAAACATCTCCAGGGCTACCCGTCATCTTGTGGCGTTTTGCTTTAGTGGACAAGGCGCTGTACTATAGTGGCTATCCACTAAAGCACAGTGGGCAGATCACTATCAGGCCTCTACGAATAGGAACCGATTGATTGAGCTACCTGACCAGACATAATCTAGATAACTTCGACGCTCCACGGGGTTTCTTCGCATTCTCTTTCTTTATATCTACTAAGTAGTCAGTTAATGCGCGAATGAAATGTATTAATCTCGCCTGTCCCCGTCACTCACGGAATTGAGAAGATTCCGTTAGGTTAAAGGTAGTCTGATTTCCATTCCCAAGCATCGGATAGCAGCGACGTGCATTCGAATATTCTCAACATACTATCTACCTAGGTAGGTACCTGGTACAATCCTCTTATCGATCCGTCTTGCAATTGGATGAGCAACAGTAGGTATGTTATCAAGTAACGGAAATACTCCCTTCGCTCGATACGACATCTTCGCCTGGCAATTTCGTCAACAAGGTATTCTTCAACCTCTCCAACCACTTTTCGACAAAGTCTGCTTGGTAGAACGCCTCGTTGTAGCTGATGCTGAGATGCAATTCCCCGTCCCAACTCCATGTATGCACGTACAGCTGACGGGAAAGCATCTGCACGGCAAGCCAAGCATCGCGAACTGTGACGTCGCCGTAATTCTTCCGCACATAGTCGTCCATCACCCCGAGGTTGCTAAGATTCGGTTCCGTCGTAGGTGCTGCGGTCGCTAATATCTCCGTCGCTTTCTCCAGGTACGGTACCCGTAAGTACATTAAACTATTCCGTCCTGGTGCGAATGACTGCTGATAGATGGAATGGATCGATGCTGCTAGTGTGTCCCAGTCAGCTTTAGCGTCGACGCTGAGCGGAAGTGCTATCGTCCGCAGCGATGGCGCGTGCAGCGGACCGTCGAAGGGCGTCGGGCAATATTTCCTCAAGTCGAAGACGGCCCACGACTTGTACCGTGCTGTAGCGCTACTGGTCGATTGCTGGTATCTCGCCGTCTCCGAAACGACCGACGCATGTAACGCGGCCGTTAGGCGAATGTGCCGATCGCGGCATGCTGTTAGGAGTGCTGCTGTGCCTTTGCGAGGGATTATCGCTTCGATCCGCCGGGTGTTGCCTGGTAGCGCATCTGGGATTATCGGTAGACCGATCGACGGGGATCCTTCGTTGAGAGGGGCGAGTAATTTGTCTACCAGGCCAGGCCACTCTTTATCCGTACCTTCCACCGGCGTACCCACTAACAAGTCTAGCGTCGGAACCAGTTTACGGGCCTCGGTTCCGGATAGAGGTGCTGGCTGAGAACTCTGCCCTCCTAGACAAAGTAAAAATTCGTGCATCATCATCATCAGCCCGCGCCCGTCCCAGCGCCAATGCGACGATACTATGGCAACCTCGCCGCTAGCAGGGATCCAGTGACAAGTCGCGCTAGCAGTTCCGGTCTTCAGATTGAGAGAGAAGTGCTCGTCGGCAGAACTGACAGCGGTCTCGATGTAGAAAGTAGAATCGGCCCATGTTTCAAGAGCTTCGGTGCTAGTTATAGGTTCGTAGCGCTTCTCGTTTTCGAGTAACTCTAACGCGATGTCCGGATGACGAAAACGCAGAGCTTTCCAGGCACTTCGAAGTCGCGTCTCCCCTCCGTCGACGCCGATCGGAAATTCCAGTCGGATAACACCTACAAGAAGCCAATGCTCTCGGTTTAGGGGCTTACCAGCAGCCGAGACAAATTGGTAAAATCTGTCAAGGGAGTCTAGCGGGCGGTGCCAGTGGGCGCCCTGTTGAGTCCACGACATCTTACGTGTTGATACTGGGTGAGCAAAGGGACTCGAGTGAGCTCGAAAGAGCTCTAAGAGTTCGAAGTGCGATTAACAAGATGATTCCTCAAGTACCAAATAAGGTTAATTTACCTAAGCACCTATACTTCATTCTGTTACCATTCTTATTACACAATCTTTACTAGGTACTTCAAGATGTTTCATTCTTTGGTATGTCTGGCAGTGGTGGCCCTGCGCCTGCGAAATCGGTACTCTTGGCCACGCTCTCCCATTCGTCGCATGTCTTCTGCAGAGTCTGTAGCTTCTCGCGGAACGCAGCCAAGCAGTCGCTCCCAAACGGGATACGTAGCGGTATCTCCCTATTTTCGGCGACTCCTGTCCCTTTCACAATCTGGATAACTTTGGAGACCATCTCGACAGCGTTACCGGGAGGATTTTGATAGTTTCCCTGTCCACGTATGCGTGCTGCGTCGTTTAGCGGTTTCCAGAACGGAACGCGGGAGTCTGCGTGGTGGATGTTGCGCATTACTTCGGTATTAAAGATGCCGGACTCGATGATCAGCGGCTTAATACCTGGCGCAAGCCACGCCAGCTCCTTCGATAGACTCTCCACCGCACCTATACATATAATATCCATGGTTAAACGTGCACAGCTGCGAGATAGAGGACACTGGGCTTGAATGAATAGGTACCATAGAAACCATAGACCATAGACCATAGAAACCAAAGAGACTAGGTACTCACCTTCGAGGGCAAATTTACTAGCACAGTACCCGGTACCCCCTGGCTCGCCGACAAACCCCGACTGAGAGGTCATGTAAACCAACCAGCCAGATCCTCTCTCTCGGAAATGTGGGAGAGCGGAACGCGTAAGGTTGAGGGGTCCATGTAGATGAGTATCGATGGAGAGCTGTAATTCCTCCTGACTACCTAATCAGGACCCGATCAGCATTGTTCCGCGACCGACTACCCAACATAGATCCTGAAGGTGAAGACGCACGTTATCTCTTCGACGGCCCCGCACTGAATGAAGCCTGCGTTATTGACGAGAACGTCGACTGTGCCGTACACTTCTAACGCATGTTGGAACTTTTCATCTATTTCGGCTTGCGGAGCGGTAACGTCAAGGTCTAGTATGCTTGCGCCAGTGTCCTTCAGGTGTGCCAGCCGTGTCTCCGCATTACGACCGGTGGCGATGACGTGGTCTCCTTGGGCGGTCAATTGGCGAACAAATTCTTCGCCGAAGCCACTCGAACAGCCGGTGATAAGCCAAGTCTGCTTAGCCATCTTTAGAAGTAACGGGGAGAGATGAGAGGAGAATATCCGGCAAGCGATTGTTCCGCACCGTTGTTGTCTGGTCTACTTCATGATGAGATTCCCCGGGACGGACGCGGTTATTAGACGAACATAGAGCAACTTATCACTCGATAGAACCTCGGAATGAAGTTGGGAGGTTGGGGGTTGTGCCCGAGACCGCTGCGGCGTAGCAATAGAGGATCCTATCACCACTCTGCCACGTTCATCTCCGCATGAGACTTGGATAGCTGTGCCCTAAAGAAAGTCGAAGTCGAAGTCGTCATTGGATAAACGATGTAAGACATGTGCAACCACACGCATGTGCCTACCCGCTATTAGGTACATGTCCCCAGGCGTTGACTAGGTGCCTTAAGTATTATATACCTAGTACGCAACTAGGTAGGTGCCTAGGCAGGTGGGTAGGTAGTGTGCATACTTGAAGATCATAAAACATCGACAAGATATCATCATATTTCTCGACTGATATCTAATGATATCCGCTGAACGGTTCATTCTAGAGGTAGTCAATTTCTATCGCTAGAGTACCTAACAAGAAGCAGCTCGAAAAGGGGCAACTCAAATATTCATAAAGGTACCTGGTATCTAGCAGTCCGTGTACCCGGTAAACACATGCATGTACCCGGTAAACACACTATTGGATAACAATGTGGGGCACAATCCCGTCTTGGCACATTTAGCGTCATCTACGTATTAATCGCCATTGGTCAACTCTAGCTCGACCTCCCAGGGCTTGACTCATAGAATCTGTCATCATATCCTTCCGAGGTTGGAACTACCTAGAGCTAGGCGTGTTCACAATGCCTCCAGTAAAGGTTGGCCATTTTCAAACTCTTGACTTGTCAGCGGAAAATAAAGCAATCATCCAAGACCAACTCTACGGCGACCATATAATATCAGATCCCGTGCTTAACGAACTTCTGCGGTCGCCATCCCTATCACGCCTTGTAGGAGTCCGTCAGCATGGCATCTCGTCCCTCTTAAACTTTACTCCGCCCATCACGAGGTTCGAGCACTCCGTAGGCGCGTTTCTTCTTGTCCGGCATGTCGGCGGTAGTTTGGAGGAGCAGGTCGCGGCTCTGCTGCACGACGTTAGCCACACCGCCATGAGTCATGTCGTCGACTTCGCTCTGTCTGAGCCGGGCGAGGAAAGCTTCCACGAGGTTCACAAGATGCGATTTGTCAAGACCACTCAGATACCCGAGATACTTAGCAAGTATGGCTTTGAGGATCTGAAGCCCCTAGACGAGGAGCTGTACCCGTTGGTTGAGATGCCGACACCCCATCTCTGCGCCGATAGGCTCGACTATGGTCTGCGTGACGCTGTAGGCTTCGGTAGCCTTTCTCTGGAAGAGGCGCGGCGCATCATAGCTTGTCTCGACGTGTGCCCCGATGCCACGTCTCCCGACCGTCTAATCGTCCTGCGCGACCCGGAAATTGCTTTGTCTTTAGCAAACGGGTATATGCGATGCGATCGGGACGTATGGGGGAATCCGTCGCACGGCAGCTTGTATACGAGGACGGCTGAGCTTATGCGGTCGTCTATCCGGAGCGGGGGTGTGCGCGAGGACGACTTGTGGAGATTGTCGGATGAGCAGTTCTGGGCCGAGATGCGCAAGGTGGTAGATTCTAAAGGACAGGAGGCCATGGACAGGCTCGAATCTGAGGCCCTCCCGAACGGTAAAGATCTTCCGCTTCCCCGCGGCGCAAAAGTTCGTACTATAGACCCCGATGTCTATGATCTCTCCAGCGGCAAAGCTGTTCCTCTATCTACGCTACTTCCCGAATACGCGACTGAGAGAGAACGATACATCGTCGCAAGGAGAGCTCTATACGAATAAGCCCTTCCGGCTAGGAGCTATGTGTACCTAGGCATTACCTAAGGCACTAAGTACTAGGTCCTAGATGCTTGACATAGATATTTGGTTTCTACACGGTATACCTATTCTTATAGACCTTTATTCATAGAGCATATCCCTAATTGCTAGTTGTTAGGTATGTAGGTACTCTATCTTATACCTAACCTAGAATGTCAAATCGTCTTCGTACCGATCCAAAGCGGGTTCGAACTACAACTCAGCATATTTCCCTGGCGGGCGCACGTCGCTTGGACATAGCCGATGCCGATAGCGTCGAGCGAAGATCTAACGTATCATTAGCAATCGCACCGTTGACTGAAATCTCCCAGATGCCTTCGCCACTTACGAGTCGCTGCAATTCCAATGTTGCGTGATTGTGAGGATATCTAGTTGGGAGTCGAAGATAAATCCTGCCGTAGTTGCCGAACTTCCCTCCGAAGCTGACTTGCAAGTCCCGTCGAATGTGCTGTTTCTGTTCCCCGAAGTTGAACAGTCGAACACGTCCTTGTTAGCCATATTTCTCAGTGTGAAAGACGGACCAGTATCCGAGTCAGGCGTGGCGGCAGAGGAGCCCGGGATCAATTCGTACTGGCGTTTCCAATTCTCAAGTTGCCATGACTGATAACTTTGCGAAGTGTCCGCGCAGGCATCGGTTTCCGCGTGGGCCAAGCCGCCCTTTGTAGTGACGGCTAGCCCGCTACCCTTTAGCATGCAACTCTCATCGCCTTCGGTGCTCGACGTGCAGTCCATGTCCAGCTGTACTGATCCCGTAGCTAAGGCATCGGATCTGCGTTATAACTATTAGCTTAGTTACTCCTTTTCGTCTTCCCACCTTTTCCTGAAATCCACTAATAGTTACTTATGACTAGGTACGTAGGTAGTGTCTGGTGGCTTACCCCTGAACGTCCGAACAGGCGAACGTATGAGATATGTACACCGTATGGTTCTTCCAGTCCATCGCGAATGACACTGCCGTGTCGTAGGTTCGCCCGTTGCCCGCCCATATGCAGTCGCTCCATATGATATTTCCGTCCTCGTACCACCCTGCCCACGATTCCGGCCATTCTGCAACGCATTCGAAGAATGTTCCCTGGGCACTAGTACCTGGGACTATGCTAAGTGCCACTGTAGCGGATCCGTTAACTACCCCGTCGTATCTACCAGCACCGACGCGCCATTGGTACGTCGGAGAGGTGGTACCACTTCCGCACGCCCTGTCACCGCGTACCTGGGTAGCCGCAAGAGCCGTTGCGATGAGTAGTAGGTCGTTCCGCATCGTGACGTTTGCTCGAATTGTGTCGATACTTCGATATTTCGACCCAACACGTACCTAGTAGATTAGGTTATAATTTCCCTATGAGGTAGATCGATTGGTAGCAGAAGTCTGGGTTTCTTTTCCGCGGGTAATCCAACAAAGTCTCTAATTATACCGAGCGTGAGTAAGTGCCGCACCACCTTGATTGTTACATCGTAATCTAGGATAGTAGACTATAATTAATTCTATTTTACCGCACGGAAAAATCAAGGCAGCCAATCATTTCCCTCGATGGAGATATCCATCTATGACAGGTAAGATCCGATAGATAAGTATATCTTTGACTTCTAGTAAATATCAGTAGATACCATGCATTCTAATACCACTACTACCTAGGTACCTACCTACTATGTAAGTACCTGACTGATACTGAAGATAGGGACAGGTATTTGGAATTACACCTACCTCCTAGTACTTACATCTACTTCTCCTGATATATCATCTTAACAGAAAAGCAAGCATACCTAGGTAGGTAGGTAGTTTCAAGATGAATCAGAGCTTGCTTACATAGGTACTACCTAGTAGGTAAGTCGTAAGTAGGATACTATCCCCCTCATGGCCTCTACCAAGACAAGTAGGAAGGGGGCTGTTTACCCGGTAAATTGCTAAACCTAGGCACTATGACTCAATTCGATCTTCCTCCATATTAAATTTACAAGAAAAGTATGTCGCATCAAAGGTGTGCCGGCATTGTTTCTGGAAGAATCCCGTGTCCAAGTATATAGGAATTACGATCTATAATGATACGGAAGCAACAGTCTGGCTTCTGCTCTGAGGCTTTTCGCGGCAGCAACTTTTTATCACGACGTTCTAAGCTACAGAACCGGTCAAGATGCAGTGGACGACCTTAGCCCTGGCGCTTCTCGCGCAGGGCATCGCAGCTCAGCAGATGATACGATTCGGCTGCTCGCAGCTTGTCATCGAACGTCTAGATCCTTTAGTGAATCCCGGCTCTACTCCGTCGCCTCACGTTCACCAGATCGTAGGAGGCAACTCCTTTAATTCAAGCATGGACCCGACGACGCACGATCTCGTCGCAGGGTCTACCTGTACTACTTGTACCTATTCCGAAGACTTTTCCAACTACTGGACGGCGGTCTTATATTTCCGCGCTCGCAACGGAACGTACAGACGCGTGCCCCAGTTTCCGAACGTGGGACTTCGTGCTGATGGGGGAATCACGGTCTATTACATTCCGCCGTACGATGGCAAGACCAAGGTGACAGCTTTCAAGCCAGGCTTCCGCATGCTCGTTGGAGATGCTGCGCTTCGCAAGGCCGACGGTATGCAGCGACAGCTCTGCCACCGTTGCTACACGACCGAGTCGGACGCCGGTGTTCCAGGTTCGGACCAGAACGGCGCTCCCTGCACCGGGTCAGATACCCAAAGCCTCCCCCCGAAGCCGTGCAAAGGCGGTATTCGTACTACCATCACATTCCCAACGTAAGTTTGCGTTAGCATACTACCTAGTAGTTTCCCATTTCCATATATTAGTATCTACCAAGTTCGCGCTCAGCACCCACCCAGCACCCACCTGGCACCCACTTAACTCCTACATAGCATCTAGGTACTCAGTGCCTACCCAGCACCTATTCATATTCACTATCTTCCATCCAATACCTACCTAGGTAGAAGTATGCGAGAAAGATTAACTAAGGGTTTACCATAGCTGCTGGGATGGTAAGAACGTGGACAGTCCGGATCATAAGAGTCACGTCGCGTACCCTCAATCTGGATCCTTCGAATCGGTGGGCGCTTGCCCAACAAGTCACCCCGTCCGGTTACCTCAACTCATGTATGAAGTCATGTGGGATGTAAGTATAATTCTTCTCCCAGATTAAGCTAGGTAGTTCAGGACGTAGTAACTAATACGCGAATAGACCAAGGCTTTCAATGACCCAGAACTATGGCCAGAAGATGGCTCCCAACCATTCTCCTGGTCTACAAACGATGAGTAAGCGATCCTTCGCGAAGATGTAAGGGGGCCATAAACTAACATGTACTCGTAGGACTGGGTTTTCACAGCACGGTGACTACCTCTTTGGGTGGGAGGGAGACGCACTTCAGCGTGCTCTAGATGCCCGTTGCAACAACGCCGTCTGTAAGGAGCTCAAGGTTCAGTCATCTGAAGATGCGATGAGATGTACCAAGGCGCAAACCGCAGTAGAGAACGTCGATGGATGTGAGTTACCTTGACTGATACTGTGACGACAAAAATAGTGCATATTGACTAATATTTTACCTTGCAGGGCTAGAGAGTATTCCGGGCAACTAGAATTATAGCCGTATCATCTTAATATCGAGTTGATGGACGTAAGCGAGGGTAGAATAAGACGTTGAATGTTACCTAGGTCCTGGGTAGTTATTTGTTTTTGCATAACACTTTATCCGGGTTATCGTTTCACTTCCCAAGATGTGTGAAAGGTGCCAGCTACCTAGTTCCTAATACCAGGTAGTTTACATCTACGTTAGTACTAGGTGCGTGGCATATATTCTAGAGCTTCCTAGCATACTAGGTGAGATTAGAACATGCCTTTGTAGGTACCTAGTCGGTACTTAGGTAGGGTTACAGGAAGTAATCATGTACCATATACCTATCTCGACCGAGGTTACCAGCTAGCAGGTATAGGATCTCTAACCGTATGGTGTGTTATATCTGAGAAAATCGTGTTAGATCACATCATATGCCTTAAGTTATACAAATCTCAATGCAGGGATTGTTTAAGTGAGAATCAAAGGATATAAGTTACTTAACCAGGTGATGCGGAGAATGGAATGTCGTTCAGAATTATAATAGGTAAGCGTCATGTACCCAGAGGATAACTCGTGACATTGCCAGTGCCAATAACAGATATCCCGAATTCAAGTAAATGCCTCCGAACCATTTACTCAAATTTGGTGTCGGTTATCGTCAATGCCCACGGTTACCAGAGCCCCGCAACCCAACCTTGGAGCCATTAATACCGAAAAGTCATCGCCACGATAACTATACCAGCGCCGATAGACAAGGGCATAGATATATCAGCCTTTCCAACTCCCGACTCATCATCATCATGTGTCTTATTCCCATAACCGTAACCGTAAGACCAGGAATCAGGCTTGTGTTTCTTCGGATCTCGTTTCTTTGTACCAACAGAACTGTGTAGGAGATTAATCACCGAATCGTCAACTGTCATCACGGCGGGAGCGTACCTTTGGTTGATAGAGATGATGCTAGGAATCCCATAGCGGGTGTCATTCATTTCCTTGTGTCCTGAAACATGCATGGAATCGTTGTTCTGCGGGTTCTGAAGCCATGCAACTTGGTTCTTTCCAGCTTCGCATCTGCCGGTAGAAATTAAGGAAGCTGATATCAGCATAGCTTGGAGGATGGCCGTTGTTGCAATCATGATGACTTTATGCTATGCCCGTGTCGTTAATGAATGAATGTAACCTGAGGACCTTAGGTAGCTAGGTAGCTAGGTAGGTAGCTAGGTGGATAGGTACTAGGTAAGTTGGGAGGCAAGTAAACCAGTAGATAGGCAGGTTGGCGTCAAGTAGGTAGGTACTGAAGTATCTACTATGTGGTATGTAACTGCCAGGCAAGTGAAGATGAGTTGAGTTGCGAATTTTGATAGAATCCCAATGAGAGTTGTTTGGGCTGAGGATCTTGTAGTATTATACAGGTACTAGGTACTTAGCAGGTAGCTAGCTTTTATAGATAGTAGGTACATAATTTCAATGCAGTTTAAATAGACTGCAATCTACTTTGGCATGTGTATAGAGGTGAATGAAGTAAAATAGAGTAGAAATATAAACAGTGTGTAGATGGTAGTTTGTACTGTAAACTTTAATGAAAGCATTGGCCATTAACTATCCTATGAGCTGCTTAATCCGCACTATGACCACGAAAATGATTGGATTAGATGATTTTGGGGATGAGAATATGCCTCGACACACGGTGCAAGATACTGTACACTAATACATACAGTCTTCACATACAGTCTTCACATACAATCTATACCGCAATATTCTCCTAGCTGACCCATATGAAGAGTAGTTTACTCAACTAGGCATTCTAATGCGGCTAATATATATGCCAAGTTATTGATAGTATTCGTCCAACTATCCTCCATGCATGCGAGTGAATATCTTGGTCCTTACCTGGCAGCCTGGGTATATATGAATTTGTCCTGTTCGGAATAGGTCAGATGCTGCTAAGATACCTACCTAATATCTACAGGGTGCCTAGGTAAGTATGTTTTCGGGTTATAAGCAGCCCGGGAGGGATAGCGACTCTTGTATCCTCATTTTCTGGGGAAGTGTTCAGCATACCTAAACCAGCTAGCCAGCTTAATCTAGTAGGTAAGTAATAAATAAGTAGTAAATAAGTAATAATAGGTTGTTACACGGGGATTAATGTTAAGTATTATTAATATTAAAATAAATATTATTAAATAATTATATATTATATTATTAAAAACGTAATTAATTAAAAAAATATATTAATATATAAAAAAATTATATATTAAATTAATACGAAATTATTAAACGTTTAAAATTTAATGTAATTTTAACGTTTATTAAATAAATTATTATTAAATAAAAACGTAAATTTTTTTTCGAAAAAAAAAAAAAGAATTATAAATTTTAAAACTTTAAAAAATTATTATATTAATTTTAAAATATTATTTTAAATTTTTATATTAATTTTTATTATAAATAATTTTTTTTTAAAAAAAACCCGTATTTAAAATCCGCACGTATTATTAAATAAACTTTTTTTTATTATCGATTAATATTTTAATTTAAAAATTATTATAAATTTTATTTAATTTATTTAAAAATATTTTTTTATAAATTTATAATTAATTTTTAAACTTTTTTTTTAATTTTTTTTAACGAATATTATTATTTTTTTTTTCGTATTATTATTTAAAAAAATATATTATTTTAATATTTTTTTATTCGCTTAATTTATATTTTATCGGTAATTATTTCGATTTTTTAAATTATTAAAAAAGAGAAACCCTGGCCGCGCAGTATGAGTACATCGTTAGATCCGCGCAGTAAAGCTAATTCGAAAGAGGTATAGCTTGAGGTACTTTGTCCGCCATACAAGCTAGTATGTGGCAGAATGTATCTTTTTGCGCAATGTACCTTTTTGGAACACCTATCTTGCCGATCACCTTCAATCAATTGTTTCTCCTCCAATCTCTGATCAATTTCTTAATAATTACAATCCCTCAAATGCTGTCAATGGGAGCTTGCTCCTGATTCAATTGCATAGATTGCATCGAGGCTGACGTCATGGGAGCCCCGTTTGAAGTTGAAGGGCTTGTTAGAGAGCGCCCGGAAGTCTTAGAAATTCATTCCTCCGGTCGACACTTTTTAGTCCTTAATATCTCATTCAATCAACTTGCAAACCAAATGCAAATTGACTATCGCATAGAGCCCATCGAGCGCTTTTAAATGATCGTAATTATAAGAGATTTGACAGCAGTTTGAAAGAGAAACAATTGATTAAAGTGGATTGAAGGGAATGAGGGCGTTTTGGGTACCTTTCGAATGCGCTAGCGCGGAATTTAGCGTTACTGCGCGGATCAGCCGATGTACCCATACTGCGCGGCCAGGGTTTCTTTTAAAAAATTTAAAATTATTAATTATAATTTACGTTTTTATAAACGTGTTAATTTATTTATTAAACGATTATAAAATAATTTTCGATTTTACGTTTTTTTTTTTTAAAAAACCGATTTTTTATTAAATTATTAAATATCGAAAAATCATTTATTAAAAAATTTTTTAATATAAATATTTTTAATTTTATATTTAAAAACGTTTTAATTATTTATTAATTTTAAAATTTCGAAATTATAATATACGATATTTTTAATATAAAAATTATTAAGTTTTAAATTTTTAATTTTTTTATATAATTACGTAAAATTTATTAATAAATAATTAATACGTATTATATTATTTAAATTTTAATTTTTTTTATCGACGTTTTTTATCGTTTAAATTAAAACGAAATACGTTAATAATATAATATTACGTATATCGTTTATAATACGATTATATATTTAATATATATAAATATAATAATATTAAAAAATTAAATTACTTAATTTAAATAATAAATTTATAACGTTAATAATAAATTTTTATAACGTATTTAAATTATTATTATTAAATATATTTAAAATAATTAAGTTCGTTAAAAAATTATTAATTAATTTATTTACGTAACGAAATATTATAAATAAATTTTCCGTATTTTATATATTAATTTTAAAAAATAAAATGTTTTTTAATAAAAAATAATTTTTTAAATTATTATTAAAAATTTATAAATTAACGAATTTTTAATTAAAAATTTTATTAATTTTTTTTATTTTAATAAAATTATTTATAAATAATTTAAAAATTTATAAATTTATATTTAAACCGTTATTAACGAATTTTATATATAATTTATTCGTAATAAAAACGTTAATGCGAAATTTATATTTAATAATATTTAAAAACGTGTAATTTTAATTTTATTATTACTTTTTATTTTTAAATTTTTAATTATTTAAAATTTAATTTTTTTAAAATATTATTTAAATATTTTAGTTTTAAAATTTAAATAAAAGTTACGTTTATTTTAAAAATTTTTTAATAAAATTAAATACGTTATTAATTAAGAAAAACCCTGGCCGCGCAGTATGGGTACATCGTTAGATCCGCGCAGTAGAGCTAATTCGAAAGAGGTATAGCTTGGGGGTACCTTTTGCGCCATACAGACTTGTATGTGTCAAGATGTATCTTTTCGCGCAATGTATCTTTTTGGAACACCTAAGTCTCCCACCAGTTTCAATCAATTGTTTCTCCCTCAATACCAGGTCAAAAGCTTTATAATTACTATAAATCGAAAGCTTTCAATCTACTCTAGTTACGATCGAAGTTGCATTTTTTTTGACATCGGTGACGTCACAAAAAGTCAGTTTGAACCTGAAGGCGCTACAAAACTGCGAGCGGAGGTCTTAGAATTCTAACCCTCTGCCCGAATGTTTTCAATCCAGGATATCTCCTTGACCCTGATAGATACAAGCATGCAACTTTATTCATTCGAAAGCGCTCTGTGAGAGAAATTGAATGAATGTAATTATAGTAAATTTGAAGCGTTGGTGAATGAGAAACAATTGATCAAAGTGGATTGAAAGGAATGAGGGCGTTCTGGGTACCTTTCGAATGCGCTAGCGTAGATTTTAGCGCTACTGCGCGAATCCGAGCATGTACCCATACTGCGCGGCCAGGGTTTCTTTTAATTAATTAACGTTCGCGTATAATTTAATTTCGCCCGAATAAATTTTTTTATAATTAAAATTAACGAAAAAAAAATATTTTTTTTATTTTATTATATATTTAAAATTTTAAAAAACTTAAATTTTAATTTAAATAATTCGAATAATAATAATTTTTAAAAATTTCGAACTTTTAAATATTTATTCGGTTTTTTAAAAAAACCGTTTCGTTTATTTTTATTTTTTTATAATAATAATAAATTAAAAAACGATAATAATTACGATTAAAAAAACGAAAATTATTTTTTTTAAATTATTAAATATATTATTAAAATATTAATTATTATTATAATTAATTTTATTTATTTTAATAAATTTATTATTTATAATAATAAAAATTTAATTAAATTTAAATTATAATTTATAAAAATAAAAATATATTTAAAAATTTATATAATTAATTTTTTTAATTATTTTTATCGTATAAATTAAATTAAATTATTATTTATTAATAAAATTTAATTATAATATTAATAACGAATTAATTAAATTAAACGATTAAAAGCCGTAAATATTTAAAAAAAAATTATTACGAAGTTTTTAAAAAACGTTTTAAAATTTTTTTAAAAAACATCGTAATTTTAAAAAAATATACGAATTTAAATATTAAAAAAATATAATTTAATATATTACGAAATTAATAAATTTTAATAAAATAATTTAATAATTAAAAATTACGTTTTAAAATTATATCGCGAAAATTTTTTTCGATAAAATTATTAAATTAATATATTTTTATTAAAATATAATTTTAAAAATTAATAATAATTTCATTATTATTATTTAAAAAATCGGTTAAATATACGAAAATATATTAATTAATTTAAGTTTTTTATCGGTAAAAAACGGGTTTATTTCGATTTTAAAACTTTCGAAATTAAATTAATTTAACCGTGGAAAAAAAAATCGTTTTAATTTAAATTAAAATTAATTTTTAAAAAATCCCGGTTAAAATAAAAACGATAAAAAATTTAAACTTAATTTTAAAAATAAAAAATAACTTAATAATAAAAAAACTTTTAAAAAAATTAAATAATTAAATATTAATTAACGTAAAAAAAATAAAAAAATTTATTAAAAATACGGTAAAAATAATTATTA